CTCACCCCAGCCTCCCAAAGGCGCGGGATTACAGGCTGAGCCACCGAGCCCGGCTAAAAATGTTATTCTTAATTCCATGCATAAATGATGACAAAAGTAACATAGAAAAAGTTTATGTCCAAAAATTAGCTGAGTATGGTAGCATGTGTCTGTAGTTCCAGCTACTTAGAAGGCTGAGGAAGAAGGATCGCCTGAGCCCAGCAGGTCAAGGCTGCAGTAACCACTGCACTTCAGCTTGGGCAACAGAGTAACACTCTGAATAAAAAAAATAAGTAACTAGCCAGCTCGGTGGCTCAGCCTGTAATCCCGCGCCTTGGGAGGCTGAGGTAAGTGGATTGCCTGAGTCCACAGGTTCAAGACCTGCCTGGGCAACTTGGTGAGACCTTATCTCTACAATAAACCAAAAAATTAGCCGGGCATGGTAGTGCGCGCCTGTAGTTCCAGCTACTTGGAAGGCTGAGATGGAAGAATCACCAGAGCCCAGCAGGTCAAGGCTGCGGTAGCCGGGAGCGGCCACTGCACTCCAGTCTTGGTGACAGAGTGAGACTCCAACTCAAATAAATAAATAAATAAATAAAAATTTAAAAATATGTATATATGCATATTAAAAAGACTAGAAAAAAATAACTCAAAATCAAAATGGTTACTACTGAGTAGTGGGATTATGGATGACTATAATACTTTTTTTTTAATTCCTAAGAATATTTTATATTTCCCTTTTAGTTTTACATTTTTCTTACAGTTAATATATGTTTATATAATATTTATACTTTAGATTTCTTAAAATGTTACAATAAAAATAAAAATAAGCCAGGCACAGTGGCTCATGTCTGTAATCCCAGCACTTTGGAAAGATAAGGCAAGAGAATTGCTTGAGCCCAGGATTTGAGACCAGCCTGGGCAATTTGGTAAGACCTCATCTCTACAACAAAGCAAAAAATTAGCCAGGTGTAGTGGTGCACACCTGTGGTTTCAGCTTCTTGGAAGGCTGAGGTAGAAGAATTACCTGAGTTCAGCAGGTTGAAGCTATGGTGGCTGTGAGCATGCCACTGTACTCCAGCCTGGGCAATGGTGAGACTCCGACTCAATGAATAAATAAATAAACAAAAATCAAGTTAAAAAAAAAACAAAACAGGATTTTACAGCTTATAAATTTAACTTCTTAGCCTGATATTTGAGGCCCTCTAAGACTTTTTTTTTTGAGTTGGAGTCTCACTTTGTCCCCCAGGCTGGAGTGCAGTGGCACACTCACAGCTATCCCAGCATCAACCTGCTGGGTTCCAGCAATTCTTCCACCTCAGCCTTCCAAGTAGCCAGAACTACAGGCGTGTACTGCCACACCCAGCTATTTTTTTGATTTATTGTAGAGACGAGGTCTCACCAAGTTGCCCAAGCTGGTCTCGAATCTGTGGGCTCAGACAATCCACTCACCTTGGTCTCCCAAAGTGCTGGGATTACAGGCCGAACCACTGAGTCCAACCAAGACTTTTTTGAATTGGAGTCTCATTCTGTTGCCCAGGCTGGAGTGCATTGGCTCACTCACAGCTACCACAACCTCGACCTTCTGGGCTCAGGTAATCCTTCCACCTCAGCCTTCCAAGTAACCGGAACTATAAGCACGTTGTGCCATGCCTGGCTAATTTTTTGATTTACTGTAGGGATGAGTCTGGCCAAGTTCCCCAGGCTGGTCTTGAACCCCCAGATTCAGACAATCCTCTTGCCTCCACATCCCAAAGTGCTGGGGTTACAGGCATGAGCCACTGTGTCCAGCCCTCTAAGACTTTGCTTCTTTTTCTTTCTTTTTCTTTTTTTTGAGCTGTCTCACTCTGTCACCCAGGCTGGAGTGCAGTTGCATGCTCACGGCCACTGCAGCCTCAACCTACTGGGGTCAGATGATCCTTTCACCTCAGCCTTCTCAGTAACTGAAACTACAGGTGTGCACCACCACACCCGGCTAATTTTTTTATTTATTGTAGGGACGAGCTCTCGCCAAGTTGCCCAGGCAGGTCTCAAACCCCTGGACTCAGGCAATCCTCTGGCCTCTGCCTCCCAAGTGCTGAAATTACAGGCATAAGCCACTGTATCTAGCTTTGCTTCTTATTTTTAGCCTTGTTTCCAACAAGAAATATCTTCTTCCTTCTGCCCTTTGCTATGCTCCATCCTGCCTCTGAGCTTTTGCTTATGTTGTTCCAGCAGGAACATCCTGCCCTCCTATTTCCTCAACAATTCAAGTTCTACCCAACTTTCAGTGCCCAGGTCAATCCCCACTTCTTCCACAAAGAATCCTTTTGATCTTTCCCTTCTCTGAATCCTGACTTAACACCTAGAATCTGAATAACTCAGAACTATGTTGGTTTGTAGCAAATCTCTAGACTGTAGCACTTATAAGCAACCTGTTAATAATAATGAACCCCTACTATATGCCAGATACTGTTCAACCTTTTTCATGGATTCCCTTAATCCCCTCAAAGCCCCCAAGAGGAGGTGAGGAAGCTGAGGCCCACTAGAGCTCCCCACTGCCCAGGACTGCCCCCCAGGGCCCAGCACAGAGTGTCCTTGGCAGGCCCTACAAGACTGAGAAAGTACCTGGGTCAGAGGCAGGCTCAGAGCTCGCAAGGCTCCCACGTGTTCCCCAAAAAGAGCAAGGCGCAAAGTGACACTGAATCGACGCTGTAGTGGCAGGAGGACCAGAGATGCAAAGAGGTGGTCTCCAAAAGAGACAGCCTCAAAATGATCCAGGAAGTTGGCATAGAGGTCAGGGAAAGATGTCAGGCCAGGAAGTGGGCAGTCCAGGTTGAGGCTTGGCAGGACTTGAGGCTGACAGAGCTGGGCTAGGAGGCCTGCCACTAGTCGCTGTACTGGGGACTCCCGGAACAGCTCACTGTCCACAAGGAACACACACATGAGCCGTGCCAGGCGGGCAGCAGGAGGCACAGCCCAGAGGGCCTGGGGGCGCCAGTTCTCCAAAACTAGCACCCACTGCAGGACCCGCATGGCTGTGCCCACGGTGTCAGTGGCAGGGAGCCCCAAGGGGGTGTCTGAAGCCCGATGGTAGAGATGAATCAATGGCAGGAAGGGCCAGTCGGTGGGCAGCAGTGGCCCCTTAGGCACAGGCAGCAGCAGGGTTCGGACTCGCTGCAGCTCCCCTCGGTGCAAAGCTTGGGAGGGCAGCAGGCTGGCTCGGGCCGGTAAGCAGTGGGTCAGGTAGCAGCTGCGGATGCTGGGGAGGTCCTGGCAGGCCTGAGCTAGTAGAGCCCCTCGCCCACACCGAGGGTCCCTGCTGCTCCCTAAGGACAGCTCGTCAGAGAAGTCGGCTGCTTCCGGACCCCCTGATGCTCTTTCTCTGTAATGGGACCAAAAAGCCAAAACTGAGGGCTGGATCCACAGCACCTGGAAGCTGTGCCAGCTCTCCAGGGCTTCCCAGAGACTCCTGGTTCAATCCTGCTCCTCTCTGCTCCCCTAACAACCTCCCACGCAATATTGTGTAGCAGTTAAGAGGATGAACACCAGTTGGGTTGGAGTCTCACTTTGTCACCCAGGCTGGAGTGCAGTGGCATGCTCACAGCCACCACAGCCTCTACCTGATGGATTCAGGCAATCCTTCTGCCTCAGCCTTCCTAGTAGCTGGAACTACAGGTGCACACCACTACGCCTGGCTAATTTTTTGCTTTATTGTAGAGATGAGGTCTCACCAAGTTAGCCAGGCTCGTCTCAAACCCATGGGCTCAGGCATAACTAGTTGATATACCATTTTTTAGCCATACAGTTACACTGAAGTCTCACATTATCTGGTATGGTTAACCTTATCCTCACTTTACTAATGAGGTAACAGCTCATGGAAGGAAGAGAATTAACCCAGGTCTCCTGGCTCCAAATTCAGGGCTGCTCTTTAACAATCACAGACCTGTTACAAAAGGGCTGAGTTGATGCCACTACTCAAGGACTTACGGGAGGAACTCCAATCGGAACACACAGCTCAGCAGCAGCTCTTGAGCCTGGTACTCACTTCCTGGCAGCAGGCGGGTCAGTAGAGCCAAGGCCACACCATGATGGAGGGCAGCACTGGTAGCTGGCAGTGGCTGGAATACTGCCTGTGGACAGAAAAGCAGGGAGCTACTCGGGGGGGGAAGAGACAAGGCAGAGAGAAGTGGCAAGGGGATAGAAGCAAGGCTGAAAGGTAGAGATCCAGGGAATGTCTGGAGGAGAAGGAGCTGCATGGCCCAGCAGAAGCAGCACAGGTCCCAGAGAAGCAGAAAGGTGTGTAAACAGGGTTGAGGGCAGAAACTTCAGAAAGGGGAACCCACCGTTTTCTGGGCCAGGGAAAGTGCCAGGTACTGCAGGTGGTACTCATGGCGCAAGGCCCATGCAGAGAAGGGTGTGAGGTGTGGGGCAGCTCCAGGAGCCACACACTGGAGGAAGTAGTTCTGAAGTCCTGGGGCAGACAGTATGGCAGCCAGCTGAGGAAAAGCAATTTTGCTCAGATCTAGAAATGGACTCTGATACTTTTGGGACTCCCCAGGTGGCTGCGTCCTCCCAACCAAACTCAGAGAAATGGGTGCTGGCAGAAGAGGCCTCCCTTCCCCACAGGACACACTCTCTTTCTTTCTGATTCCTGCCATCTTATTTTCCTGCCTGGCTCCTATCCAGACACCCAGGGCTTACCTGGCCACATAGCCCCTTGTGAATCCGGGCCAAGGTATTGAAAAGAAAGAGGAGAGCAGTGAGGAATGGGAAGGGTGACGCTGAGCCAGCCAGACTGAGATGGGGGCAGCCTCCTGTGCAGCCCAGTGACACAAGGCTGGGGGGAGCTTCAGGGGCTGGAGCACAGGTCAGCGGGTTGCAGAGAGGGGAGCAGTCCCTGTAGGCAAAGTGGAGTCGTGAGGGAGCTCTGACCTGACGTGTGCCAAGTTGGAAAGAGCTGCTTGGTCTGTGACCAAAGCCAGCAGGGCTTGGCTGTGCAGATCCATGCCCACATTCCACATTCCTCAGAGCCCACACGACTGCCATGTCTCCCTCAGGCTGAGGATCTGCAGCCTGGATGGATCAGGGAGCTGGACCCGGGAATCCCACAAAGAAGGAAACTGCTTCCTCCCCAACTGCCCACACACAGGACATACCTAAGGGAATCCCACAGGCTGTCCAGCGTAGGTTGACTCAGCAGCGGCAGTAACATCTCCTCTGACAGGCGCTCTATGTCCTCAAGCCAATCCTCTGGGCACAAGCTCGGCTGGAGGACAGAGGGGTCCACTGAGCTGATAGCCCAGGACACTTATTCTCCTAACCCAGGCCAATCCCACAATTCCAGGAGCCCAAAAGAATACGTTTGAAGGCTTCTGCAGACTGGCCCTTCTGCAGGAAGAGAAGGCCCTTAGGTACTCTGGCACCCAGTGTCTAGGGGTGCATACAAGAGAACATAAAGGCAACAGGAAGGCTGAGCTGCTGCTTGGGTTCTCTGGTCCCCACTAGCATGACTCCTGGGAAGCTGCACTGGGATATGGAGGTGGAAAGAGGGAAGAAGGTGGAGGGGAGTTAAGTGAAGAGGTAAGAGTGGGGAGGAAGGGTAGGCGTGGTGGCTCAAACCTGTAATCCCAGCACTTTGGGAGGCCAAGGCAAGAGGACTGCCTGAGCTCAGGGGTTCCAGACCAGCCTGGGCAACTTGGTGAGACCTCAATAAATCAAAAATAACCTGGACATGCACCCCTGTAGTTCTGGCTATTTGGAAGGCTGAGGCAGAAGGATCACCTGAGCCCAGCAGGTAGAGGCTGTGGTGGCCATGAGTAAGCCACTGCACTGTAGCCTGGGTGAGAGTGAGACTCCAACTCAAAAAAAAAAAAAAAGAGCGGAGAGGGGAAGACAGAGAGGAAGCAAGAGGTGGAATGAAGTTGGAGGCAGGGCATGGGGCATGGTGGAAGGCAGGCAGGCAACACTCACTTGCAGGCTCCAGGACTGGTAGTAGGCGCCCAAGAACAACAGGCAGGCAGTGGGCACTGGGCCCAGGGCAATCCACATCTCAGGTCTGGGCAGCAACTTCAAGGTCTGCCTTAGACATGGCTCCACAAGAGGCTGGAGCCCCGACACCTGCGTCCAGGTGATCAAGGAATGGGTGGGCGGTAGGTTGGCCTCTGCAGAGTCACTACAGAAGTGCAAGTGGGGCCACAGTGAGGATCTGGCTGCCTCACTCCCCTCTAAGCTCTAGCCACTCTTCCTAGGGAGGAAGATTCCTGCCTGTCCTGGGTCCCGACACACCTGCCTCAGGCCCAGGGCTATAACCTACCTGATGGGATCAGGAGGGACACTGCAGGCTGCCAGAGTCAGCTGGGTGAGAAGAGTGAGCAGTGAGGCTATCCGCTGCACAGTCAGGGGCTGAGGCGGGTGTGTGCTGAGCTCCCATGGCACGGCCTGCAAGGCCCGCATCAGCACTGGGTACAATTCCCTGGGGAAGAACAATGGCTGACTTTCACTGTATGAAGGCAGATGGAAAGATGAGACACAAGTCATAGCCCTGCCCAGGGATGTGCAGTCTGGGGAAGGAGGATCAGAAGGAGAAGGCCCAGGGCTGTAGCACTCTTGGAAGGCTGGGCCCTGAAGAATGGGAAGAGTGTAGCCCTTCAAGACTGCTACCAACAGAAAGTTTAAATGTGACTTCACTACGACACCAATGCTTTTGTGCACAGGATGCAGTTAACCCAGGTTTGTTCCATTCTTCCCTGGTTGGTCCTGACTTCCAAGCCTTTTCACACCTAGCATAATCCCCTTTCTCATTCTTAGCCTCTTTTCAAGCTTGGGATCGTGGGCAAGGCTAAGGTGCTGGGTCTGGCCAGAAGCGCAGAATTAGAGGGGGTCTAACCCCTGCCTCTCCTCACCTGTAAAGGTCACCGCCCTGGCCATAGGAGGCAGCCACAGCCCACAGACGAAGGGCCTCAGTGTTCAGTGTCTCAGCTTCCTCTCCGGGCAAGGCCAGTTCTTGGGGAGCCTCAGCTATGAAGCGGCACAGGCGGCTCTGGAGCTCAAAGCTGCTCAGCTAGGGGTGGGCAGAGTCTGAGGATCAGTGTCAGCTGGGAGACTGGATCAATTTGGCCCTGTTCCAGGCCCCTCTGATGCCACAGGTTCACAGCTCTGGGCAGGGGAAAATGACCTTGTCTACCCCTCCTTCACTCCCTGTTTTGAGCAAGCACTTGCTGGGCACCTTCTCTAGGGTAGGTTGGCCTTGGGGGATGAGTGCCTGCTGATCTGTATGTGGCCCTTCTGATCCAGGTCTGGGGAACTGGGAGCCCTTCCCTCAGATCATGATACCAGAGTAGGCATACAGGATGCCCCAGGCTCAGGTGACTAAGTTCCTGCCTGGTAATTTCTGTTGCATCTCTAAGCAACTGAATCAGAGAGGAAGAGGAATATGGCATGAGCTGGCCAGCCAGAATTCAGAAGTGTTTAGCTTCCAACCCAGCCCTGTCCCATGCTCCCCCATCCCTTGCCCTGTGTCCTGCTCACCAGTCGGGCAGCAATATTCCTACCAGCCGAGGCCAGGACACGAAGTAGTTTCATGGCAGCAGCACAGGGTACTTTGTGTAGACTGGGGGTAGGCCCTGCCCCCAAAGGGGACCAGCTGGTGGGCAAGAACTCTCGAACTATGGTCTCTATCAGTCGAGGGCACTCCAGGACCTATAGGAGACAGGAGGAAAAAGGGAGGCAGGGAGGCTGTGGGTCAAGACTAGGCCCAGGTAGGCTCTCTGCCCATTCCCTGCTCCCTTCCTTTTCTCACCCTCGTGGCTGACTCCAGGGAATGCCGGGCCAGGCGGATGAGCACAGCCAGGATGTCAAGGACCACAGCAGGTCCTGGGCAGGTTACCTCCAGTACATAGCGCAGCCGAGGCAGCAGGTTGGTAGCCAGGAGCCCCTGCAGGTCAGAGAGAGAAATCCACCAGCAAACCCACCAAGCCCCCGGGCTTGATGACCCCTCTTGCCCAACATGTGCTTGCCCTCTAGGACATGGGATGGGAAAGCAGTTTTCCCTTTACCTTGATGGCATCATGTCGGGCCAGGTCAGATGGAGGCCGGCTTCCTTTCTCGGGACCTTTCCCTTTTGCCTTTCCTGCTGGAGGTTCTTCATCTTCGTCCTCATCCTCCTTGTCCTCCTGGCTGGGCATCAGAGGGAATATCAAAGCTCCATGGTACCAGGAGAAGGTATTGTCGAGGACTTTCTGCCAGAGGAAAAGAAATAGGCATAGGAAGAATAGGGGCCAGGAAATGGGTCTAGGAGTAGAGAGTAGAAGTCTCTCAAAATGGCAAAAAGGCAAGGCTGCTGGGCTTTGGGGCCTTTAGGAGAAGAAGGTGATGCCCGCCATCCCATTCCACATTTTGCCTACAAAGTGTTAGCAAGGGGGCATACCCAGCATGAGGAGTAGAGACCCGGACACCTGCAAGCCCCATTCCTCCCTCTGGTACCTCATCTCCAGGAGCCACCAGCAGAGCCCGAAGAGCCCGGATGGCAGCTGCGATGACTCCATCCACTCTGTCATCCAGGGAAAAGCGCAGCAAGAAGAGGAAACCAGCATCCAAAAGAAGGCTCAAGACACTACCCATGAGCCGGTCCCCAAACTCACCAGCCTGGGCCTTGAGAGCAGAAGGACAAAACCTCACTCAAGATGCAGAAGTAATACAGTCTTTGCCCTAAACCTTCATTTGCCCACCTATGACCCTGGTTTGTTAAAAATACATGCCTGGCTACTGAGCCAGAGTGAAACGGGCAGGAGGTGGGGAGGTCTAAGGTCATAGGGTGAGGGTAGGGGTGGGCAGGAACCAGCTACGAGTCTACTTACCCTGCTGATGACCTGAGCCAAAACATGCAGTGCTAGTGCTCTCTGCTGGGACACCTGGCTGCGGGTCAGGTGGAACAGCTCCTGTAAGGAGTACCCTGCTCTCTGGGGCAGGGACAAGAAGTCAGAAGAAGCCAAGATGCAGGGCAGTGCCCAAAAATACCCAGCAAGGTGTCACAAGAAAAACAAAGATAAGTAAGTGAAATCTCTTGGTCCTAATCTCCATAGACACTCAAGCTGGTAAAGAAAATAGAACTTGCACACAAGTAACCATGGCGTATGGCAGATGGGGAGGAATGTGGTAATCAATGTGAAATCAGCAACCAGCAGACAGGAGAAAGAGAGAGGGGGGCCTGGAAAATTGATCTGGTCTCAGTGCATGGGTAGAGCTTCAATGGCCAGGCAAAGGGTAAAGGCTAAGGCATTCCCTGGAGGGAGCTGAGCCCTGGAGGTCCCTGAGCACAGGAAGTATGTGGGAGGAGCCAGCAGGGTGGCACAGCAGGATTGGAGGCAGAGTGGCAGGGACAGATGGTGAAAGGACTGTTTTGCCTAGCTCAGAAGCCAGGACCTTATTCTGTGAACAGAGGGGAACCAGGAAACTTTCCGAGGCAAGGCATGGCCTGAGCTGGGCCAAGGGAAATCATTATGGCAGCCCTATGAGGAAGGGAATGGCACAGGGGAGAGAATGGAAGGCATGGTGACTAAGCAGTCAGAGGAAGCAAGGCCGTGATCCAGAAAGCATCATGAGCAGGTGACACAAGTAGACTGGCAAGTTCTAACAACTGACTAGAATGTGGAGAAAGAAGCAAGATTTTGAAACTAAGAAACTGAACAGACAGCAAGCCCCTGAACTGGAACATGACACACAGGAGGTCAAAGGCCATCAGAGGTCTTTTTCCACGTGGTTGTTTTTGTTTTGTTTTGTTTTTTGAGTCGGAGTCTCATTCTGTTGCCCAGGCTGGAGTGCAGTGGCATGCTCATGGTCACCGCAGCCTTGACCTGCTGGGCTCAAGTGATATTTCCGCCTCAGCCTTCCAAGTAGCTGGACCTATAGGCACGCACCACAATGTCCATCTAATTTATTTATTACATAGACGAAGTCTCATCAAGTTGCCCAGGCTGGACTCGAACCCCTAGACTCGTAATCCTCTCACCTCGGCTTCCCAAAGTGCTGAGATTACAGGCTTGGGCCACTGCGCCCAGCCCACATGGTTGTAAATGCACTTGCCAAGAGCTGCCCAGTTCTCCTGGGCCCCATGCCTCACCTCTGCCTCCTCTCCATGGTGGTGCAGGCCTAGGTAGGTGGGTAGGTCCACATCAGGGGCCAGTAGCTCTCCCTGAAGATTGAATCGGGCCTGCATTCTCTAATGGGAAGAGAAAGGAGACTGTGGGCTGTGGGCAGCAGCAACTTCCCCACATCCATTCCCCACCTTGAATCCCAGGTCTCTCAAAACTTGGTACCGACTCTACTTCTGACTAGAAGTGAGGTCATCTGGCCTTGGGGACCAGACAGGGTGATGGGAAAGGAGGATGGAAGCAAAGAAGAGATGTTTCTCAGGCTCAGGGAAAGAGAAGGGCCTGACTTCTGGGTGCAAGAGCAGCTGCCCCTCTCCCAATCCCACCCCTGACTATAAGCCAGCTGGCCCTCCTTACTTCCCGTGTCTGCTGCTGCCGGAGTGGGGGCAGATCCTGGGTCCAGTGGAGCTTCTCCAGTTCAACAGTGTCCATGTGCAGCCATTCTTTCTCAGAGGTCATGGGCAGTGCCAGAGCTGGGGAGATGGAAGCATGACATTACTCCCTAGGGGGCTCAGCTCATTAGTCCACAAGGATCCCCACCGTCACCCAGCAGCTGCCACATGCACCTCTGCCCCAGGATCTGGCAGCTTCTACCCTCTCTTATGGCTAAATGGCATAAGCCAAGGGCTGGAAATCCTAGAAACTGGGCAAATAACTCATGTATGGCGGTTATACCTAGTCCTGGGCTCTAGCCCCTTGCTGACCCCAAGGATTTGTTGGGAGGGAAAGAAGAAAAAAGAAAGAACGAGAAGGGAAAAGGAAGGAGGAACTGGGGAGAAAGGAAGGACCACATATATAAGGGATGCACAGCTCTCCACTCTCTAGTACCAGCTCTCTAAAGGAACAGGGGAGTGGGAACAATGAGGGGACAGCTACACTGCTCCAGTATTCAGGCAGGATACAGAAACAAACTCTCACAACATTTTCCGCCTTCCTCACCCCTACCCCACCCAATCTGCTTAGCTGGCCTGGAGCTCCTCCGGGGGCAGCAGGTCACTGGCTATCATAATTCAATTTCTTCTTTTGTTAATCACTAATTAAATAATCTAGTTTCTGGGAAATGAGTGCTTCCACTGGCCTCTCTGCTTCTGGTCTGGCATGTTCATAAGACCTTTTTTTTTTTTTTTT